CCCAGCTTCCTTTCTAAGCTCCGTGTGACTTCTTCCTCTTCCCAAAGATGAAAATTCAGCTAAAGGTAAGGAGATTTGAGACGATAGAAGAGATTCAGGCAGAATCGCAGATGGTGCTTGACAGGCTGACAAAGAAAGATTTCCAGGGATGCTTCCAGGCTTGGCAGCGGCGCTGGGATCGTTGTGTTCACTCCCAGGGGAACTACTTCGAGGGTGATGGGTGAATTTAATACCTGAGATAAGTGTACGGGTTTTTATACGCGCAGTCTGGAAAGCTTTCGATCGCACCTCGTAATGCTATTGCACACTCAATAGACTACAGTATAGTGCAAACATAACTTTTATATGCACTGAGAAACCAAAACAAATTCGTGTGACTCGCTTTATTGCGTTGGTCTGGAACCGAAACCGCAATATCTCCGAGATACGCCTATACATCTACTGGAACGACTATAACTGTGTGCCTTTCTAAGTTCATACAAATCCACAAACTGGTTAAAGGGGGAGGCACAGCCATTAAACGTGAAATTAATTTTAGTTAAACAAAATTTTCACTAGACGAACGACTTTCAAGAAAAGCATTCATTTTGTAAACTTTAAGGGTGCAATGTGTGTAGAAAAATATCTCTTCAGGCCTTTAGGTTTATTAAAAAAGACATACTGGGCTCGAACGGACAGAATATAACTTATTTTATCTTAGAGGGAAAATTAAAGTACAATTTCTACTGAAATCATTGGATTCCAGTGTCTGAATTGAGCTGGCGTGTGGTGAAATGAAGAAATAGTTATCACGAAACAGACATGCATAAAACATTCTTTTACACTTTCATAAATTCACGAAAACTGAGTTAGGTAAAACAGGCAGTGGAATGAATTCTCATAAATATTTAAAAAGAGCAAACCCCACAACTGATGTTGATTTCGTGCAGGATCCGTTTTAACTCGTCTGTATAACGCAAGCTGAATAAATACAATTCTCGTCCACTGCGGCCTGATTTAGAGACACACATCAGGGTTTTTTTTCTCGAGTTCTACGAAACGCAAGTCCCAATTTGTACTGCAAATATCACCGCTGTAAGCTGAAACATTTATAAATTTGCTGAAGAGTCTATTTTCTGTTATGGAAAAGATTATAATGCCATAAATATAAATTTATCAGTTTATCTTTGAACGACAGAATGTGATATTCTAATTCTTACTGTTTTAGTTATTATTATGATTATTATGAGGTGTTTTTTTGGAAGGAGATCGAATTGGACATGCGTATATTGGTTTTGGTAGAGATTATTTTGTATAATTAAACATATCGTCAATTTCCTAGATATTTTTAATCTTTGGTGTTTTGGTACCCAAGCCAATTCTGTAATTTCAAAAAGCTGTAGACAGTTCTACATCACACTACAATGTAACTGAGTATTCCAAAAGTTAGTACCAACTGTGAGTCCGCCTTCTTAGAAGTCATGGACTCTTTGTGATTTGTATTATGCAGACATGAAATAATCTCCGTTAAGTCAACAGCCTTTAAGTGGTCTAAAATATCAACAGTAAGCATTATTTTGCTTAATAATTACTCTTTGGTCCATTAATGATTTACTGTGAACATGAAGAGGCTGGATTGCGTTGATGGTGTCACGAGGGACAATCATACGCACAGCGCGCGTCATAAGCGTGATTCTTATGCGTACGTAAATTGTGTTACGTGCAACTTTTGTGGGTAATATTTTGGTTATTAAACACAGGTAAGGCGATTGGATTTTGTACGATTTTGAAGTTTTCACGGCGGTGAGTCAGAAGATGCCTGTCTTCTGGATCGTTTTCGCGTGTAGTCTGCTAAAAGCTTACTGACGTTTCAGAGATGCTTGCTACTTAATACTGTGATAAGTCTTCTGTTTCCCTAAGCCATCTAGTTAGTTAGTTAACACAGGTGAACCGAAAGTGTAATTGTGCTTTAGTTTTCTTTGCCTTCATAGGCACGTAGCGAGACACTTTACTTACATTATAATTACTATTATTCATTGTATAAATTTAAAGTTATGTTATCTGACCCAATTTTCAGGAATTCAAAGAGAAAATTTCTTTCTTAAGATGTATTCAGTTTTAGTCAAAACATTTCTGGGCTATCTCACATACCTCAAACATGTCTCGTAGTTAACAAGGTTTATTCAGAAAAGACTGTCTGATCTGAGCGGAGAACGAGGTCAGTTTCATTCCAAACTTCATTCGTTCCCGCCGAAATTCTTAGGTCATGGTGAGGTTAAAGCAGATTAACGGCGTTGCTGAGTAGATAACACGAAGTCTAATACAATTTGAACATAAAGACAGGACTCTACCGAGGTAGAATTATAGGCAGTGAACTATCCCAGGCGACACCCGGACAAGGGAGCTCCTGAAGGAGAGAACGGCTATCAGTACACTAAAAGTCAACACAGACAAATATGGTACAGGGATCGAATGACTTCCAGAGAATTGAAGTTTTCACGACGGCGAGAATTTCGATTGCAGTCATCTGGATTTTGATGCCGTGAATATTTAAAATCTTGGATAGCACTGATTCAGATGAACCTATTTTCTCTATCTTCAGTACATGAAATAGAGACAAAAGGTCGGTATAGAATTTTTTAACCACCTACAAGACAACATGGCGATATAACTCAGACAACCACAATTAAAACAACATACTACTCACAAGTGTGCCCTGCTTTACAACTCACTCGATACATCTGGGCTCGGTTCCAGACCACCGCAATAAAGCGAGTCATACGAATTGTTTGGTTTCTCAGTGCATATAAAAGTTATGTTTACGCTGTACTGTAGTCTATTAAGTGTGCAATAGCGTTATGTCTAAAAAAACATCGCGAGAATTACCAAAATGTGACACAGAGACACGAAGTGAGCACATGTTGGAAAAATGGCGCCGATAGACTTGCTCGAAGCAATGAAACGAGGTATGCCTGTACTTTTGCAGATACTTTCTGACTTATCTTCGTATGGCATTGTATTTGATAATGAAAATGGCCATCTTCTGTTTAATATTAATAACCCACATCAATATCCAGATGATATCTGGATAATAATTCATATAACTAATAACATATAAAGAACGTGTTATCAAGGCATTAACTTTTTTTCTGTTAAACACTGAAACAGTAAATACATACAGATTTTAAGGTCATGTTGCAACGGCTATTAATAATGAATGCGTAGATTTTTGAGAAATCAAATGAAACTCGTGCCACTGTCAATGAAAGTTCTGTTCTCAAAACAAGATGACATAACTAGTAATGAATACTCGAAGGCACGTCAAAGTAAAACCCTGGAATTTTCCATCAGCGCCAAACCGTGACTAGAGTTGAGGTAGAATGTAATAAAACATTTATCTTCCAAGAAACTGAAGTTCCGATAATTTTGTTACTGCTGAAAAATCAAAACAAGACAAGCCACAGACAGGAGCATGCAATCGCTCTTGTGGACGTACGGGTGGACCTAATTATTATTCATAGTATACGTCGCCCCACTTGCAAGTACCGGGAAGACAAGTTCTCTCAGACTCCGAGAAGACGGAAGACCTGGCCGACAACCTTGAGGCCCAGTTTCGACCTGTAAGTGATCCATCAGACCCGGCAGTTACTGAGGCAATACGCGCATACGAGTAAGCACCCGCAAGTGAACCGAAATTAACCAGTCCCTCCGAGGTCCTTCTGGCCTTCAGGATCGGGGTCCGAACGGTATTCAGAACAGGGTCCTGAGACATCTACTATAACTACGATCGGAAAGTTTCCAGACTGTGTCAATAGAGGGCGAACCGGATGTAGTACGAGCTTCTGCCGCTAGGGGGTGCGGCCTACATTCATAGTGAATCAGTGTGCCAGCCGGCATCATCGAATTAGCATTTGTTTCTTAGTTACGGGCGTTTTGGTAGTGCATTACACCGACCCTCCTGCGATTTCGGAATGGCGTGTGCATCAAATGTTGCCAAAG